ACTTCATACCACGTGTGCCTGTGCAAAGGTGAGGCCTATCTGCACCTGTACCAGCTCCTCCTCTCCCCAGCCTGCCCTTCCCTTGTTCACAGTCAGAGAAAGCGAGGCCCAGAGGAGGCTAGAACTTTACAGAGGCTGCGCAGCCCCAGGAAGCTGGACACCTCTGATGGCCCATTCCCGGCTCTTGCTGCTTCACCCTCTGGGGTTGGCCCCATCATTTGTAGGGCCCAGCATAGAATGCAGATTGTTCTAGAATTATGAGTTATTTTAGGACAGTGACAGGAGAGCATTAACCCAAGTATGGGGACCTGTGGTCTCCCCAGGCTACACCCCCCTGAGGCCAGCCCTGCACCCACACCCTCGTTCCCTACCTTGGACCGTGTGTTTTTCCATCTAAAAGTGTCTGTGACAAGGGGGAGCATTAAGGCGGCCATGCCCTGAGTAGGGACCACCTGGGAAGCATTTTAAGTGCATTTAAGACTGTTTCTGCTCACAATCATCACCCAACCCACAAATCCCTTTTGGCAGCAACAGACCAGGCCGCACATGGATCCCGTAGGACCTGGCTCGGAGATGAGAGCAGGCAGTGCTCTCATCCTGCACGTGAAGTCTGTGTGGTGGGGACTGGGCCAGCTGGGAGGTGGGAGCTCCCTGGAGCTCAAGGCACCTCCCAGCCCCTGGACCATTGAATGTACATGTGCTCAAGGGGGCCCCAGGGAAGGAGCCCTGTTCTGGATCTGCTCCTCACTACCTGGCAGGTGGAGTGAGCATCTCGCCCCCCCACCTAGAAGACCCATCTGCAAGCCCTACCCCCCACGGGTGGCTCCCAGGGCCGCCAGTTCTTGCACAGCTGACCAAGGCCACAGGGATTATATCCTGAGAGAATAAGAAGGCAAAAGTCGTGATACTCCGCTGATGTGGGTGCAGGCATCCCACAGCATCCTTGACAGTACTCCGGAGAGCAGAATGCAGACCGCACTTCTCCACGGAGAGCTCTGGCACACAAGGAGAGCTGGTGCCCAGGCAGGCTGGCAGACACAGGATGCCCGTGGCTGCGTGCCACCTGGGGGGCCCACCCACACCCACCCTGGGCTTCCCCCTCCCCACCAACTGAGTCTCCTGCAGCTCTGGGGTTGGGGCCCTGCAGGCAGCATCTCAGATCGCTAGTGGTTGGCGCTCACCTTTCTGCCAGGATGAGAAGGAGGCTGGCAGCACAGAGCCCCCTTCCCACCCAGCATGGTGTCACGAGCCTGGACTGCCACCAGGTCACCGCCCTGTCAAGCCACTGGGAAATCTCTCATTCTCTTTGTGGCCAGAAAGTCAGCCTTCCCGAGAGATGGTGCGCCCTCAGAGACTGCTTTCTACTGCAGGCCAGTGTCCCTGACTTGCAGTCACCGCTCAGGACTTGGGGTGGGGGTGGAGGGTGGGCACAGTAACCGTGGGTTCTGGACCATGTGACATGGGGTTGAGCAGGCCGGTGAGGGCTGTGCTGCTGGAAAGACAGCCCTCCGAATCCCAATCCCCTGGCTGGCTGCGCATGTGCCCTCGAGCGTACAAACAACTTTCTTTCTCTCCTGCCCAGGTGTCTGTTTGCAAAGCAGTGATCCCATCAGCAGCTCCGTCTGGGGCTGTGAAGAAAATGCAGGGTCACCATGTGCCACGGGGCCTGGCCTCGTGCTGTGTGAGTCCACCTGGCCGCGCCCACCCCACTCTGCACCTTTGAGAGGTGGGGTGGGCGAATGCGGTGGGCCAGGTCCTCTGGAGAAGGTGGCAGTGGAGGGAAAAGCAAGCCACTCCTCTTCCTGTCCACAGGGCTGTGAGCATCAGCTTCCGCGCTCCTTCCCCACCCCCCCACAGCCCACTCCAGAGCTCCCCCTAGACCCTTTGACTTGCAACCTTCATGGAGTGTTGGAGGGAAAGGAAGCTGGGCTGCTGCTTATGAATCAGGCAGTTGTTTGGGGGCAGCAGGGCTGTGTCTGGTGTTGACCCCCACTTTGAGTCTGCCTTCCCAGACCCGGCCTTACTGGGGCGGGACAGGGGGCCACCGTGGGCTCGGAGCCCTTCTGATTTCTGTGAGGAGTGCAGACCCAGGTTTATTACTCTGCCAGGCAGTGCAGTGGGGCTCCAGTGCAGTACAGGTGGGGAGCAGCTGCCCCTTCCCTCTCGTTGGCTGAGGAAACACCACAGGGACCCTCCTGCCTTTGTCACAAGAGCAGTGATGAGCAGTGCTGTAGGGTCCTCTCTGGGACCCCGAACTGTGTACTTCTCAGGAAGCGTGAGCCAGTGGAGTGCATCCTAGCTGTGCAGCAGGATCTGTCAGCTGTGGCCCGTCACTCTGCCCAGCTTGCGAAAGGCCTGCTCCGAGCCGGTGCCATTGGCTGCCCTTTCACAGAAGCATCAAGGCCAGTCTTGAGGCCATTTGGGGCTGACACAGTTCTCTGAGCTGCCAGCCGTCCCTGCTAGGGCTGGCTACTAAATCCCGAAGAAATGAACACCCTGAGTGTATCTGAGAGGCAGCCCATGTCCTCGTGGCCAGTTGGGAGGCTGTGGGACAGGAGGGTGGCATCCAGCCATGTGTGGGTGGCTCCTGTCGTGGTCTCTACCAGTGAGACCCCCAGCAAGGGAAGTCAGGTCTCAGTGCTCCCTCCCCAGAGTTCCCCGGAGTGACTTCTTCCTAGGGCTCCTGGAGCTGCCACCCCCTTGGATGGCAGGCAGCATGATGCTCTGGGTGGATCCCTTCCCCCAAGAGGCGGCAGGGCAGGAAGGCCACACGCAGAGCCTGACTTGGGCACAGGGCCAGCTCCTTGGAGTTCAGCTGCCCTTCCCAGTACCTCACCTGCAGAGACCCAGTGATTCTGGGTCCCACTCCAGGGACAGCACTCCTAGGGAGCAGTTTTCCGAAGGGCCAATAAGTCAGCCCTGTGCTTGCAGCCCCCTCCTTCCATCTCTGTCTTTAGTGCCGGGTGTGCAGTAGTCTTTGACTACTGGCCAGAGCATCTCTCCCCTCCATCCTCTCCGCCTTACTTACCCTTTTCCTTAGCCCCGTTTGTCTTTTCCCTCCTTCCCTCTCTCTCCCTCGTTTCTCTTCCAGTTCCCTCCCTCTCCTGCTGGCTCCGTGGTCCAGCCTGTCTGGCAGGGCAGCACCCACACTGGGTGGGCGGGACCCAATCAATGCACCGTCAAGTTGGCATTCCCAGCCGGGTTGCCTTTGAAGTCATCCTTGGGAAGCCTGGCACAGTGCTGGCAACCTTCCAGTTTTCTTACTGTTTCACCACTTTGGGATCCAAAAGGTCTTCACCTGTTCTCCTCACCTGACTCCACTTGGCACTTGATTGTTTCCCACACACAAGTGTGTCTTCAAGGACCCAGGCAGCCCCAGGGTGTCTTCCACTGGTGTGGAGTGGGCCAACCACTCACCTTGGTGGCTGCAAGAGAAGCAGAATGTAAGTGGAAACAAATTGATTGAAAAGAGAAATTGCTTACACACAAGTACAATGTTTCTCATGTTTGCTTTGTGTGTTAGTATTTTTTGTGCTTTGTAGAGAATATTGACAGGTTTTCAGGTTTTTTTTTTTTAAAGCATCACCTGCCCATTTATCCATCTTTTTAAAACTTCTTACTATTTAAAAATAACTTTTTATGATGCAAAATGTTGAACATACACCAAGTCAAGAGAGAGTGCCCCATTGGTTCACCCAGCATGGCCATTGTCAGCATCCCTCTTCCTCGTGGCATTTACAGCTCTACCCACAGCCTCTCAGTGATAAATTTAGGCCACATTTACTTAGGTTGAAACGCACAAATCTTGGCTGTATGTTGTTGACAAATGGATGTCCCTGTGTGACCCACACCCCATCAGGATATGAAACCTGAATGCTTCCCAGAATATGCCCCCTGCTTTTCCAGTCTGTTACCTCCCCTACCCCCAGCTGGTACCCAGTCTGATTTCTGTCACCTAAAATCAGTCTGGAACGGTGCCATGTGATTCTTTTGTGCTGCTTCTTCCACTTGGCAGGATGTCTTTGAGATGTGTCCAGGCTGTCGTTGTGTATCAATAGTTTGTGCCCTGTCCTAACTGCATAGGGTTCCATGGTGTGATGGACTGAGGTTTGTTATCTGATATAACCTGCTGGAACACATCTGGGTTCTTTCCAGTACTTGGCTCTGTGAATAACCCCAGCATTTGTGGACAAATCACTTGACGGACATATGTTTTCATTTTTCTCAGATATATGGAGTGGAATTTTTCGGTACTATGGTAGGAGCATGTTTGACTTTAGATGAAGATTTTGTTACTTACAGGGGCTTCCCAGGTGGAACTAGTGGTAAAGAGCCCACCTGCCAATGCAGGAGGTATAAGTGATGCAGGTTCGATCCCTGAGTCAGTAAGATCTCTTAGAGGAGGGCCTGGCAACCCACTCCAGTATTCTTGTCTGGAGAATTCAAAGGACAGAGGAGACTGGAGGGCTATAGTGCATAGGGTTACAAAGAGTTGGACATGACTGAAGCGACTTAGCATGCACGAACGTTGCTACTTATAAAGTGCTCTAGTTCATCTTTGGGGACCCCTGCGTGCTCTGCTTGTCTGGCAGCGTCTTGTACACTTGAAAACTCTGGCTCCAGGTGATTTGCTCGGAAGCTTGGGTGAAAGCCGAGTGGTTTACGTGCTTATCTATCTCAGGTAATCGAGGATGATATTGCAACTGTTTATGCTTCCTCACTTCCTCCTTTTTCTGTTTTAAAGCAGTGCATTTGCAGCTAGTGTTTAGCTATACAGATAACTGTGTGTTGATGTTCTTAGGACTACAGATGAGAAAGACCTACTTAGATCAGAGTTTTAACTTAGTGAAGTTTTCTTTTCTTGGCCCACAAGGAAGCTATTACTAAAATGTGAAGTCAAGCCGCTGGGAAAGGTGATCTGCCTGGGAGGGATGCTGGGCTCTGCACCGTGGTCCTCCCTCAGTCCCTCCTTCCCTCACGTGTTTCCCTGCCTCCCACAGCCCCGCTGGGACTCTACTTCTCCAGGGACGCTTACTGGGAGAAGCTATACGTGGACCAGCCGGCCGGCACGCCCCTGCTCTATGTCCACGCCCTGCAGGACGTGCCGGAGGAGATGCCCAGCTTCCGCCTGGGCCAGCACCTCTACGGCGCCTACCGCACGCGGCTGCACGAGAACGACTGGGTCCGCATCCAGGAGGACACGGGGCTTCTCTACCTTAACCAGAGCCTGGACCACAGCTCCTGGGAGAAGCTCAACATCCGCAGTAAGGGGGCGGCCCTGACCCCACCCCCGCACGCCTCATTACCCACGCCCGGCCCCGCCCTTGCCTGGTCCTTCCTTAGGCCCATCACACAGCTCCTACGACTCCTGCTGTGTAAGAGTGGGGGAAGTGAGATGGGGCTGGCCTGCCCTCTTTGTCCAGGCCGTGAGGGAGCCAGGATGAGCTTGAGGACCACTGATGACCCTCAGGCCTCCTGAGGCTGTTGGGATTTTGGAGAACTTACGTGGAGGACTTGAGGGGCTCTCCATGCTGGCTCCATATGTCTTTTCCAGTTGGATGAACAGAGATGTGGGGTTGTGAGAGAAAAGTTAAGAAAGGCTAGAGAAATCCCAAGATCTTGATTTAGTGGATGATCTGGAACTTGGTAGAGAAGCAGCTGTTTGCAGGGAAAGCCCACCTTACCATCAGCAGCAGGCTGCTCTCGGCACCTGGTGAGGACTGGGGCCTGGTGCCAGGGAGGAAAGTGGAGCAAGAGGAAGGCCTGGACGGCTTCTCAGAGCAGGGGTCCAAGCTGGAGTGAAGGCCACGTGTGACCCTGGTACTGGGAGGAGGTTGTTTGTGGAGCAGGGTTCTGCCTTGTGGCACCAAATGGTGATCACAACCCCACCTCTTGCTCTATAGACATGGCCTCCCTGGACCCTCACACCAGCTCTGAGCTCCTGTGAGTGCCGAGAGGCAGACACTCTGCTGTGAACAGTGCTGCCAGAGTGGAATTTGCCAAGGGTCTGAGTTTCATAGGAGGCCTGTTCTGTTCATGATTGGAGAGCAGCCTCATGCACCTGCCAGCTCTAGTCAGGAGAGAAATCACAGTAATTAGAACAGAGAAAGTTTATACGGAGAATTATTAACCACAGCAGGGGACTGGAGCAACAGAGGACAGGCTAGTAAGAAGCAGAGAACTGATGAATATGGGAGGAGTAGATGTAGGGGGGGACACTTCCCTAGAACTAAGATAGAAGGCCCAGGAAGAGCCCCCGCCCCAGCTGACATCCAGATGGGTTGGACGGGGGTTGCTATGGTGCCTCCATGATGGAACTTGCCAGAAATCCCCTCTCTAGGTGCTGGGGAAGTCTGTGTCTCTGCAGGGGTGGCATGGAATTCCCTGGGGGTCCAGTGGTTAGGACTCTGAGCTTTCATTGTTGAGGTCCTGGGTTCAGTCCCTGACCAGATCCCACAAGCAGCAACACCGGCAAAAATAGACTAGAATAAGTGTTTTATTTTTATTTATTTTTAATTGAGGGATAATTACAATATTGTGTTGGCTTCTGCCATACATCACAATGAATCAGCCATAGGTATACATATGTCCCCTCCCTCTTGAATCACTCTCCCCACTTCCACCCAATTCCACCCCTGTAGTGTTTTTAAAAGTGAGAAAAGAAAGAAAGTGCTTGGGGTAGTGGGTGAGGGAGGGAAGGGAGGTCACCTGAGGTGCCAAGAGCCTGCCTTGGGGAAGCACTCCATCTTAGACCCAGGGTTCAGCGCACCTCTCTGAGGAAGGGTATTTGAACTGAGACTTGGAATAATCAGAGAGATGGACCTGTGAGGAACCCCCCAGGACGAGGGAGCAGAGCCATAGGGCCCTGAGGCTGCCAGATCCCAAGTCCAGGGCTGTAGGGGGCAGGGCGGGGTCCCAAGCAGAGCCCTGCTAGCCTTGGTGAGGACTCAGCTTTGCACCAGCCCCGAGCTCCTGCCCTCTCCCCATTCAGGTCCCAGCTGGGCAGGTGTGGCTGACACCCTGGCGGGGCCTGACTTGTCTCTGCAGACGGCGGCTTCCCGCTGCTTACCATCTATCTGCGGGTCTTCCTGTCACCCACATCCCTTCGTGAGGGCGAGTGCCAGTGGCCAGGCTGTGCCCGAGTGTACTTCTCCATCATCAATGCCTCCTTCCCGGCTTGCGGTGCCCTCAAACCCCGGGAGCTCTGCTTCCCCGAGTCAGGCCTGTCCTTCCGCATCCGGGAGAACAGGCCCCCTGGCACCTTCCACCAGTTCCGCCTGCTGCCCGTGCAGTTCCTCTGCCCCAACGTCAGCGTGGCCTACAGGCTCCTGGGAGGTGAGTGCCAGCCGCATGGAGCCTTCCTCGGTGCCTGCCGAGTGCCAGGCATGGCCCTGCGGTTCCTCTACGTGAGCCATCCAAGTTGACTACACCACCCCATCATCCATTCATTCAGAGGTCCACGTGTATCTCATGTATGCTGGCCACAGGCCAGGCATGGTTCCAGGGACCAGGGGTGAAACAGTGAACAAGTTCAGGCCCAACCCTGCCTGTCTGGACCTTCCACGCCTGGGGCAGGTGGAGACCACACAGGCGCTGAGGACGCTGGGTGGCCTCGGAAGGGACCAGGTGGGAGGTGAAGCTGAGAAGGCACAGAGTGGTGGCCACCTGTCCTAAGTCAGGTGGCTGGAGCAAGGTAAAGGAGGGCGCCCAGCAAGCAGGGCGAGCTCCTTCAAAAGTGCCGAGGGGGACGTGCAGCTGCGGGGGAGGGCAGAGGCTGCTGAGGGCAGAAAAGGCAAGGGAGGGGGCAGGACTTCCTGACGAGGGGACTCGGGAGCCATAGGAGGTGTTTTCAGGGGTGGGGGGAGGGTGTCATTGACAGGATATAACTTAACTTTAAAAGGTTAGTCGGGCTGATGTGTTAGAAATGATTTGGGGTGAGTGGTTTGGAGGAAGCAGGAAAACTATGAAGAGGCAGGAGACATCCTTGAGTGAGAGGATGAGGACTGGGGTTGAGGGTGAAAGCCTTTAGGCCACAAGAAGCAGGCAGATTCTGGGCATGTTTTTGCAGGAAGATCCAGCAAGATTTTCTGGGGAGTTGAATGTGGGGTGTTGAGAGATTCACGAGGGGACCAAGCATGGTTCCAGGATTCCGCCTGAGCCACTGTAAGGACAGTGGACCTTGTCACAAGATAGTCCTACCACCCGATGGCCCTGGGGAAGCCACATGGATATGGGGTAGGGGAAGGGCACTGGATCCGAGTGGAGATGAGAGAAGGCAACTGAGCCGCTGTGTGTGAGGTGCCATTGGACAGTTTAAAGGGGACTTAAAGGGGACACTTATTACGCTGGACGGCTGGTAAGTGAAGCCTGGATTCCCACCAGGTGGATGGCACCCACACATGGTCATAATGTTAAAGGAGCGCTCAGTAGTGTAAGGAAAGTAGTCACTCCCACTCCCACGTCCCTTCATTTATCCTGCCACAGGGATGGATGTCTTTGTACAAAGTTGTCCCCAAAGCATATGGTTTAGTGTGCTGCCTTTTTCGCTTAAAAAGAAGAGCCATTTTTGTAACCATAAGCAATATAGGAAAATGTGTAGTTCACATGTAATATGTGGCTCTGATGTGGTTTTCCACCAAGTGGAGTTGACAGCCCTCCTGAGGTTGGCTATGGGGTGGTCACTGTTGACCTTCAAGCGTTCAGCTTTTCCCCCTTTCTGGGTCCTTTCTGGAGGATGAATTCCAGGACAGGCTTGGGTTGAAGAGCATGTTGTTATTACTGGTCCTCCCCTCACCAGGCTGCAGTGAGTCATTGAACTTACAGCAGTGTCCGGCGATGAACACACACAGCATCTCATCTTCGGGGGCTTCCCTGGTGGCTCAGCTGATAGAGAATCTGCCTGCAGTGTGGGAGACCTGGGTTCAATCCCTGGGTTGGGAAGACTCCCTTGGAAAAGGGAACGGCTACCCACTCCAGTATTCTGGCCTAGAGAATTCCATGAGCTGTATAGTCCATGGGGTCGCAAAGAGTCAGACATGACTGAGCAACTCTCACTTCACTTCATCTTCTGGCAAGGAAGCTGAAGAACAGAGACAGAACCATCAGCCTCAGGCCACGCAGCCTCCAGGTGTATAGGGCAGGGATCCAAACCAGGCAGTCAGAAATATTTGTGTGTTAACATGAAACTACACCAGATGTCCCCAGTGTTGGTTTTCAAGTGGTGGAATTGTGGCTTTTTTCTCACATTCTCTAAAATGAGCATGTCTTGCTTCCACAGTTAAGAAAATTCCTGACAGTTTTTCAAATACCAGCAAACACTAGGAGCTGGATCTCTGGGCCTGCAGCGTGAGTGCCAGCTGGTGCACTCACCACAGAGGAGGTGCCAGCCCTGGTGCCAGCCCTCGCCACAGAGGAGGCAGGCAGGGTGTGTGAAGGGGTGTGCCCTCCTAGGTGATTGGGTTGAGGACCTGAGGCAGACCTCCTGGCCCCTTCTCTTCCCTCTCAGCACCAGTGCAGGCTGCAGGCACAGTGATGCTCAGAGCGTAATCTTCACTGCAAACTGTGCTTGGAGGCTGTGCTCCACTGTGGAAACTGAAGAGGGCCACGGCCAGACCCAGCACGCACCCCAGCTCTGTCTCCTCTTGCGCACTGCTCCCTGTGGGGCCCTGAGGAAGGCAGCTCACCCTCCCCTCAGCTCAGGGTCATCCTGGGGTTGCTGGTCTGTTTGGTGCTCAGGTGAGAGTCTGCCTTTCCGCTGCGATCCGGACAGCCTGGAGGTGAGCACGCGCTGGGCCCTGGACCGTGAGCAGCGGGAGAAGTATGAGCTGGTGGCCGCGTGCACGGTTCGCATGGGCATGCGCGAGGAGGAGGTGATGGTGCCCTTCCCTGTGACCGTGTACGACGAGGACGACTCTGCGCCCACCTTCCTCGGGGGCGTCGACAGTGCCAGCGCGGTGGTGGAGTTCAAGCGGAAGGAGGTGCCTATGCGTTTGTCTGGTGCTTGTCTAGTGTCTGTCATCTCTTTGTTGGGCATCTGGGCCTCTGCATCCGTCATTTGTTCCTCGGTCTATTCAGCTGTCCATCTAGCCACCCAGACACGTGGCTGACCATCACTGTAGTTATTCGTCTTTCATTTGTCCATCAGTCCGTCTGGGGCTTTGTTGGTTTCCAGGACAGCTGAGGAGGAGAGAGGACCAGCCCCGCTGGCACCGAGCTGACCCCTGCCCTGGGAAGCGGGTGAGGGGAGGGGTTGGGTGCCGGTGGGGTTGAGGGTAAGGGTGCCCAGCCTCTGACTCAAGCATCAGGGCTCACATCAGAGGGGCGCAGCTGTGGTACTGCACAGGCGGGGCGCACCGCCCCAAGGAGGCGGAGAGCACATCTGCCGGGAGGGCGTTCCCTTCTTCGGGCTGCCAGCCCCTCCAGGGAGGGCCAGTGAGTGCAGGGAGGCTACCCCGGAGTGGAGGAAGACAGGCCAGTGGACCCGCCCCTCCCGTCGGGGCCCCGCCTCCCTCTTGCCCGCGCAGGCGGAGCGTGACTGCCACCTGCTGGGCCCTGGGCTGTCCTGCAGCCTGCAGGCTGGCGGGAGCTAGGGGAGGGTCGGGGTCGGATATGCTGTGGTTGCCTGCTTCTCTGGACACCCAGGGAGCAGGTTTGGTGGGTGGATGGGCAAGAGGAAAGCACATGGAGTAGGGAAATGTCTCATGAGCCTGGCAGGGCAGCTCCAGGGTAACACTGTGGAGCCTGGCCAGGAGTGAGAGCAGAGATGACTTGTGACTTTACTCAGAACCCCCCTCATGATCCCATCTAGCCTGGGGTACAGAAGAAGCTTTAGGAGAGCATTCTGGTGGACACTGTGCTTAGGTCCCAGCTCTGTCATCTGTCACTGCATGACTTTGAGCTAACTTCTCCACTGTGTGGGGCCCAGCTTCCTGGAAGGAGAGTGGGGGTGCCCACTCTGCACTGTGGGGACCTGAATGAGGTCTTCCACAGAGCACCAGGGCATCTGTTCTAACCCATAATCATGGGAAGTATGGAGATGCCATTGCACCTGTTGCAGAGGTGAGGTGCAGTGGCCCAGGAAGGGTGACAAGCAGGCTGGCTGGGGGCCCCTTGCAGCTTGAACACTGGTCAGTCTGTCCCTGGAGCCAGCTCTCACCGCACACACCTGATCCACCTGTGGGGCACATGCCCTCCTATGGGCTCTGGCTTTCGGGGCCCTGACTGGCCCCCGTATTCTTTGCAGGGCACAGTGGTAGCCATGTTACGGGTCTTTGATGCAGACGTGGTGCCAGCCTCCGGGGAGCTCCTGAGACGGTACACGAACACGCTGCTCTCTGGGGATGCCAAGGCCCTCCGGACCTTCCGAGTGGAGCACATGCCCAATGAGACCTTGGCCCAGGTCAACGGCAGCTTTGTGCGGGCAACCGTGCATGACTACAGTAAGAGGGGACCAGTGTGGCCTGACAGGGCCCCCTGGGGAACTGGCGACCTGCTCTCCTTGGGCAGGGCAGCACCCTGCACAAGTAGACACCTGTCCTGGCCCTTTCAGCCCCAGGTGGCCACCCTTTCCAACCCTTTTCCCAGCCTTTGTCTCTGCTGGGCTCACCTTCGCCACCTTGGTGGGTGTTTACAGGCTGTCCTTTCTCCCTGAACTGCCCCAAGGCCAAGGCTGACCCTGGCAGGACCCCACCACTCTACCCTGTGCTGACCACGCCAGGGCTTACTGCAACACATGTCTCCCTCTGGCCCCTGGCACCAGCTGTGCCACCTCCTAGGTGCCCAAGTGCCCAGGGATTCTTGACACCCCCCCCCCAGCAACTCTCCACTAACAGGAGTTGATGTCCAGTAGCAGCTCTGTGCCCTCAAATTGGGGGGTTCTGGGATGACTGTCCTGTCTGACTTCTGAAATGTGCCCACCCTCCGGGCTAAGCACCACGTGCCCCCAGGGCTCACCTGCAGGATGGGGTGTCCTCATCAGTTGCCAAACCTCCCCACCTCCCTCGCCTGCTCTCCTGCCTGTGTTTTGTAGGATCACCTTTCAAATATGCCACTTGTGCTTGGATCCTTGTTTGGAGGCCTGCTTCTGGGGAACCCAGGATCACTGGTGCCTTTACCCCTTTCTGCCTGACCTAATCCTATTTCCTGTCTTTTTCCTCACCAAGCCTCTGATGACCTCTGTTCTGTGCAAGGGAAAATGTCACCCTTGCCCCTGCGCACTCACTCTGTATGCCGTGTGCACCCAGAGACCCTCGCCTCCTTTGTACTCCACTAAATGGGGATCTTAGCCTTGGCACACGGTGACTGCTCAGGAGTGTGGAAGCTCCTGGGTGCTTGAGACCTGTGGAATCTGAGGGTCCATAGCAGGCTGGTACTGTTGTGAGAAGTTCTCAGGGGCCAAGACGGTCTTTCTGGGACCTTGCTGGTGGTGGTGGTGGGTCTTTACCTGTGTGTGCTTGCCCCGACATGCATCTTTCTCATACACATGCGCACACACACACACCTCACTGAGGTTACCTCCCAGCTGAGGAGGGTCTTCTGGGCTCAGCTCAGCACAGTGACTCACATTTAAAATAGTTCAGCCTTAGTGCCTCCAGCCAGGTCTGTTGTCTGTGTACTGTGTGGGTAAAAGTACCTATTGTCACACATATGCCCATGTGTCCAGGGAATGCTTTGCAGGGGAGATGTGCAGCAGCGTGGGGCAGTGGTCTCTACCCTGGGCAGGGCCCCTACCTATCATTACGTGCCTCCACCCGCAGGGCTGGTTCTCAACCGGAGCCTCCCCATCTCGGAGAGCTGGGCTGTGCAGCTGGCCGTGCTGGTCAACGACTCAGACTTCCAGGGCCCAGGGGAGGGTGTCGTCCTCCTCCACTTCAATGTGTCCGTGCTGCCTGTCAGCCTGCGCCTGCCCAGTGCCTACTCCTTCTCGGTGAGCCGGCGGGCCCACCGCTTTGCCCAGGTGAGTTCCTGGCCTCTTGCCAGCCTGGGGAGGGGAATGGAGGAGCAGGGACCCCCAGGGTGGGGTCACATGGGGGACACCACCTCCCTGAGCACACAGTGGCCCTGGGGAGCAACAGGCACAAAGCCAAGGAGGCTAAGGCCGTGGGAGAAAGGAGTGGGGCTGGTGGGCTTTGTGGGCCCCTCTTTGCCCTCTCCCTTCTCAGCACTTTTACATGTTTTACTAATGAAAGAGCAGTGCCAGGTAAATCTGTGCTGACTTGAAAAGACATTTCTGGTGAATGAAGTGGGAAAGGTAGTTTGCAGAAGTATTGGTCTTAGGTGGCTCCATATGTTCAAAACCAAGTCTTCATTGCCGGAAATTTCCAAGTGTGCAAACACAGGCATTAGTGGAGACCTCTGCAAGGAAAGACAGGAAGTGCTTCTATTTCCTACTTTCCTGCAAGTCTGTTTGCTAGAGCTTATTTTGCATTTGTCATCAGACAATAGTGATTAGAAGTAGAAAAGGATATATCGTCAAAAGGATATAAGGGATAGATAAGAGCAATCTTTTCCTCATATCAGCCAGTGTTTAATGTTTTGGTGCACTTCTCTCTAGAATGTTTCTCTGAAGCACTTCTTAAAAGTTTACTTGCAATTACGGCAAGCATGACTTAACATACTGTATTCTCCTAATGGCATAGCTGTGGCCATGTGCCCTTTAGAATATCCCATTTAGGGTCATCTCCTAACTAGGACAGTGGCTTTGCCAGTTTCTATGGTTGGTTCCCATGCCACCTCCGCTCCTGGCAGCCACTTAGGACCCAGCACAAGAAGAGCCCCACCCTTGGACACAGCCAGGCTCCCCACTTGCCACCCCTGCCAGGCCTTTTCCTGGAGGCAGAAGGCAAGGCTGGTGAGAGGTGACGAAGCAGAGGGGCCTGAGGGATGTCCAGGGGGGCTGAGGCAGGCATAGGCCTTGCCAGGGGTGTGTCAGCAGAGCCAGGCAGTGGGGAGGGTGATGAGGGCTGAGTGGGAGTGGGGTCTGGGAGGGCGGGCCCTGCCAGCCTCTGCAACACCTCCCACCGCTGACCACTAAGTCTTTCCCTGTGCCTAGACTCAGGAGGGTGCAGAGACCCGAGTCTCAGCCCAGCCTTACACACACTGCTGTCTCTCACCAGCCCCACCCCTTAGTATTCATGATTATAAATTGAAGGTGGTGACCTCAGGCAATTTTGAGGATCACAGGAGAAAGTGGAAGTGAACCTGCTCTGTACAAGGAAGTGCTCGGAGCCTAGGAGGTAGTTTTGTTGTGGTGTGAGGAGTGGGCTTGGTGGAGCCTGGCTCTGCCCTGGGCCTGAGCAAGGCTGAGCAAGGGCCTGGCCTGTGGCTGCAGGCAGGGGGCCCTGTGCCGCCACTGCCGCCAGCCCCACAGCCCTCGACCTTGACTAGTCAGAGCTTCTGATCTCAAGCCCCAGCAGCCCTAACTCCACCTTGGGTGGTGAGGGAGGGAAAAGGAGAGTTCCAGGCCCCAGTGACCACTGCAGCCATGAGGCATCCCTGGAGAAGTATCCCTTCTCTCCCAGGGGTTCCGGCCCAAGTCTTGGAGGAGGCTCCGGGACCTGGGTGGGACAGCAGCCCTGCTGTGTGAATTATGGCCCGGGTGCTGTGCTCTGGCTGACCAGGCAGGTGACCCAGGCAGGACACTGAGGATGGGCCCGAGTGGTGCCCGGAGCACGACGGCCCCTGCCCAGAGGGAAGGGAGGTGTGTGGGAGGCACCCAGGCTGCCTCTGTTCCCGAATGAGGGAGCAAGTGAGGGGTGGGCCGGGCAAGCCAGCAAGCGCCTCCCTGGAGGGCCAGTCCCTAAACCAAAGCCCGGCACCCCGTGTTCTTTTCACCTCCGGCTCCCAGGAGCAGGGATGAAGGGTGGTGTCACGGTCCGCGCAGGGCCAGGCCAGGCGGGCAGATGGGTCTACAGATTCCAGGGGCATGGAGGGTGGGGAGATTGGGGGCCAGCAACTCTGGGCTGAGTGGGAAACTGTCTTGGGACTCAGCTGGCATGGAGCCCCTCCAGCCAGTGTCCCAGGTGGTCTACTCACCTGGCTAAGGGTTCCCTGATCCCATGCCTAGATCGGGAAAGTCTGCGTGGAAAACTGCCAGGAGTTCAGCGGCATCCAAGTGCAGTACAGGCTGCAGCCCTCCAGCGCCAACTGCAGCGCCCTGGGGATGGTCACCTCGGCTGAGGACAGCTCGGGGACCCTGTTCGTGAATGACACGGAGGCCTTGCAGCGGCCTGAGTGTTCCCAGCTCCAGTACACAGTGGTGGCCACCGAGAAACCAACCCGCCAGCAAGCCCAGGCCCTGCTGCTCGTTACCGTGGAAGGGATGTGTGAGTGCCCGGCTGCGGGAAGGGTCAGGGTGGACGGGGCGTGGCAGAACCTCGGGCTGTTCCTGCAGAAGGGTGCGGTCCTATACCCCGTCACTGACCAGTGGGCTTTCTTGAGCCTCCTTCTCTGTAAGATGAGAAAACAGCGCACAGCTGCACTGGAAGGATGATGGGGGAGATATGACACAGTTTAGCCCAGAGTGACAGCATTGTGGGTGGCCGCTGCTGCCCACGCCTCTGTCAGCAGCTCCTACCTGTGCACTTGTTTTAGGGCTGCCAGGTACAATATAGGACCCAGGTTGAGTGTGAATTTCAGGTAAACAATGAGCAATTTTTGCGGTGTAAGTACATTTCGTGTAGCCTTTGCAGTGAATTAGAAGACAAACTCCCCTATGTCCCTGAGATATTAGGGCCATATTTACACAAAGCAGGTGTTCACTGTTCTCTGAAGTTCAAGTTTAACTGGGTGTCCTGTGTGTCCCTGGATGAGTCTGGCCACCTCCCATCCCCGCTCCATACTCAGCCCCTTAGCTGCCCCTGCTGTGTGACTGTGATGCCACCCCTCCCCCAGCAGCCCCCTCACTGCCCTGCGCCCCCAGAGTTTAGTGACTGCCTCCCCTCTGGGCTCAACTCCTGGGAACAGCTCAGCCAGTGCTGCCTGCACCCATGGGTGCCCGTGGCAGGCTGGCCCCTCATGACTGCTTTCTGCTGCCCCTAGACATGCTGGAGGAGCCTGGCTGCCCCCTGTCCTGCGCGGTCAGCAAGAGGCAGCCCGAATGTGAGGAGTGCGGTGGCCTGGGCTCTCTGACGGGCAGGTGCGAGTGGAGACAGGGAGATGGCAAAGGTAGGCCCTGGGCAGAGCCAGGCGGTGGGGAGCCTGGTGAGGGCTGAGGGGGAGTAGGGTCTGTGCGTGCGGGCCCTGCCAGCCTCTGTGACACCCCCACGCCTGCCCATCTAGTCCTCCCCTGGGCTTGGTCCCTGCCGTGGCTCCTGATGCCAGGAGAGGGTGGTCACGAGCGCAGGGACCAGAGAACCTTCCAACTGTTTATCACCGATGGGATCACAGGTGCCTGAGACTGAACTCGCTCTGGACTTGAGAAGGTCGGGGCCAAAGTTGAGATGTGTGTGTTTTCTTTTTACTCTATTCTGAAATTCTGAATTTCTGTATTGGTGCCTAAACCAGATGGTAATCAACATGTATATGTCCATTTCTCTACCCATATACACACAAATACACGTGCAGTTGTGAATGTGAAATTGAAAGTGTCAGTCGCTCACTCGTGTCTGACTCTTTGTGACTCTGTGGACTGCAGCCCACCAGGCTCCTCTGTCCATGGAATTCTCTGACAGCAATACTGGAGTGGTAGCCATTTCCTTCTTCAGGGACTGTCCCAAGCCAGAGATCAAACTCAGGTCTCCAGCATTACAGGCAGACGCTTTACTATCTGAGCCACTATGTTCACCCAATGCCTTCTTTTTTTTTAACTTTTTATGTTATATTGGAGCATAGTTGATGAACAATGTTGTGTCAGTTTCCAGTGTACAGCATAGTGATTCAGTTATACATATACATGTATAGATTCTTTTTCGAATTCTTTTTCTGTTGAGGTTTTTATAGCATATTGAGCAGAGTTCCATGTGCTATACAGTAGGTTCTTGTTGGTTATTTTAAATATAGTGGGTATACATGTGTATCCCAAACTCCCTGACTATCCCTTCTCCCCACTCTTCCCCCCATTCACCCAATGCTTTTAAACACATAGTTCACAGACACTTTTCGAAGATCTCTTGGTAATATTATTGTGCATCCAAGAAGTGGAGGAATTAAGGTAGACTACACTGTTGACATGTCATTTATGGTTGGCTTTACTTCATGAAAACACAAACCTTAAAATAATTCAAAATATCCAAAATGTGTCTTCAGAGAGGCTCTACCCAGGAGGTCCCAGCCCAGGGGACGTGGACCCAAATAGGAGGGACCTGAGCAGCCTTGGGTGTGGACAGTAACTGGCTGCCAGCTGGGCCCACCAATCTGAGGGTCCCACCCACAGTGCAGCCTGGACAGGGTCCCAGCCTCATCTGGTCTCTTCTGGCCTCTCTGATGTGAGCCTGGCACAGCTCTGGGCCTGCCTGGCTCCTCTGGCCCTCACCATCCTGGCTGCCATGTACCTCAGGGATGCCCTGCTGGTGGGGCTCTGTGTGTGGTTCTTCTCCACTCAGATCTCAGTTTTCTCTTCCTTGCAGGGGATGGGGTGGGGTACACGGTTGACCTGGAAGGCCCTAGGGTGTGACCCTCCTGGCTCTGCAGTCTGAACAGGGCAGCTGCTCCCTTGTGGTCATAACTGCCCGCTCTGTGTTGTAGGGATAACCAGGAACTTCTCCACCTGCTCCCCCAGCATCAGGACCTGCCCCGATGGCCACTGTGACGCCGTGGAGAGCAGAGACCCCAACATCTGCCCCCAGGATTGCCTCCGTAAGCAGCCCGATGAGCCTGCACCGTGACTCTGAGCGAGCAGGAGCCTGAATGGGTGGGGGGAGTAACAAGCTAAAGGGGCTTGGACTCTCACCTGCACTTCAGCCAGACCAGCCAAGTTTCTGGGTTTTGAGTGCTGAGCCCTTTCCTAACATTTTTTTTGAATAAAGATGCTCCTCCCCCAAAATTAGAGCTTGCTGGCTTGACCCACACCCTTCCAGTGTTGCTCTAGCCAGCTCATGGGGCACGACTCCCTGTCCCCCGTTTTGCTGACTGCCAGCTGCCCCCTCTGCCCCTTTTCTGCTTCTGAAAAGTAACCAAGTGTGGACCTTGGCCTGGGCCCAGGGCAGCCTGTGGGTTCCTCCTCTCACCCGATGCGGCCAGGTAGCTGGTTTGGGGGCTTATCATGCTGCAACTGGGTCTTCCCAGATGGCGCTAGTGGTAAAGAAATCCACCTGCCAATGTAGGAGATGTGCGGGTTTGATCTCTGGATCGGGAAGATCCCCTGAAGAAGGGCCTGGCGACCCACTCCAGTATTTTTGCCTGGAGAGTCTCATGGACAGAGGAGCTTGGTGGGCTACAGTCCATAGTGTTGCAGAGTCGACCTGACTGAAGTGATTTAGCACACATGCATGCATGCTGAGGCTCTTGCCTGGGGTGACCTAGACTTCTGATCTCACTGTGCTCCCTGGGCATGAGAGTGCTGACATCAGGTGGGAAGGGGCCTCTCATGATCCTGTCTGGTGGTCCTGGCTGTCCAGGTCCCCCTGGAGGCTGAGAGTGGGCTACTGAGTGGGTGGTGTCTGTCCTCAGGGGGCGGCAGCATCATTGGTGGGCACGAACCTGGGGAGCGCCGGGGGATTAAAGCTGGCTTCGGTATCTGCAACTGCTTCCCTGAGGAGAAGAAGTGCTTCTGCGAGCCGGAGGATAGCCAAGGTGCATTGGGGGTGGGGGGGTGGGGGGCACAGCTGGCCGGGATCCCCACACCTCCCTGAGCCTCCAGGGAGCGAGGGAGAAGATTGCAGGAAGGAAGAGAAACCTAGGAGATCTTCCTCCTTCCCTGGGGTCTTGGTTCCCCCATGTGTGCAGACAAGGAGCTGGCTCAAGGCTACTAGGACTGCCTTGTGGCCCGAAGTTCCTTTTTTTCTTTTTCTTGCAAGGCTTATGGGATCTTAGTTGCCCAACCAGGGATTGAATCTTGGCCACAGCCGTGAAAGCTCCTTGTCCTAACTGCTGGACCACCAAAGAATTCCCTGGCCTCAAGTTCCATAATAAAGATTGGACTGGAAAGCTAGTTCTTCCACCAAATAACTCAGCATCTCCTCAGACTGTGCCTGTGTAGAGCCTTTCCTGGGCCTGTGGCATTGGCCAGCTGGGTCCCCCCTCCCAGCACCCTCCAGGTGCTTCTTCTAGAACAGGAGGGCCCCACTGAACACATGGGGAGCTTTTCTGGCATTTGGGTGGTCATTGCATGGCCCAGATCCTGGGCCCCTTGGCTTTCCTCTCCACTATATATTGAACATAAAGAAAATACAGAAGATATTAGGAACGCAGGAGAAGAACTTCTCCTCCCACCCCCAGGGCCCCTGGGCCTCTGGCTTCAGTGCAGCGTTCTAGGGTGGGAGAGGTGCAGGGGTGCACAGCCTCTGGTGTGTGACCTCAGGCAGGATGTTTATAAATTCTCATTCCTTCCAGAAAAGGGCAATAATAGTCTCTTGTAGCAAAAACATACAGAACAGTACCTGCCATGGGTCAGGAGGGTTGGCAGGCAGCTCACAGTCGGTCACAGCAGCCACTTCCTGGCTGTCACAGGTGTGGCTCTGTTGGGTATTGGGGGTCCCCCTTGTGGGGTGTCTACTCTCACGGCCCCTTCTCGCCCACAGACGCCCTGTGTGATGACCTCTGCCGCACAGTGATCACGGCAGCCGTGCTCTTCTCCTTCATTGTATCTGTGCTGCTGTCCACCTTCTGCATCCACCGCTACCACAAGAATGCCCACAAGCCGCCCATTGCCTCGGCTGAGATGACCTTCCGTCGACCCGCCCAAGCTTTCCCTGTCAGCTACTCCTCGTCTGGCGCCCGCCGGCCCTCTCTGGACTCCATGGAGAACCAGGTCTCGGTGGACACCTTCAAGATCCCGGTGAGGTTCTCCATGTGGCAGCAGGGCCATGTAGGCAGCCCTTCCAGGTAGCCCTGTGGGTAGCCTCTAGTCTAGGGCAGCTGGGGAAGGAGTAGGGGACAGAAGGGGCAGGGCCCTTGGGGTTGTTGCATCCTTGCCTGCCAGGAGGACCTCGTGAGCTTCCAGCTGTCTTCTAACCTCCACTGAGCTGTCTTTCAGGGAGGGCAGAAGGCGGGGGTGGGGCAGAGAGCGTGAATCAGGGTGGAAAAGGATGGACGTGGATTTAAATGACTTGAGATCTGGGCCATTAGGCTCCCAAGAAGAGGGCAGGCCATGCTGTACCCGCCTAAGATCTCTCCTATGGAGGCCCCAAGTGCTGGAGGATGCAGCTTTGGGGGAGGCCCTGAGGAGGAGTGTGTGGGTTTTATTCTCAGAGGGTAGGACCACCCTAGGGCTGGAGGCAGATGTTCTGCCTTCATTTCCACAGGTCGCTCTACTGGGGAGTCTGTTGGGCAGGAGCCCCATGATGAAACACTGTCCCCATCCAGGCGAGAGAGACTGGCAGGTGGGGGGCCTGGCCGCAGCCAGGAGGGGATTCTGTCTGTGGCTTGGAGAGTGGGGTTGCTGAGAGGCCTCTCAGGCACCTGCAGGGGAGCCCGGCCCCAGGACTCTGTGACTGGCCTGCCAAGACGGGAGCATCAGCCCAAGCCTCCTCCTCCATGGCATGGTCTGGGCCTGCAGTTAGTGTGGGAGCCTCAGACACCACCTCTTGCCCGACCAGGCTGCTCCTCCGCCTGTCTGCCCTCCAGTGTTTTTGCTGAGGAGACTGAAATGCTATGGGGACTGGGGGCTGGAGACCTCCCACCTGCTGAGTGTTTGGAACCGGCAAATTCAGGAAGGAGGCCCCTGTGGCCACCACATCTGGGAATGGCCCTCATGACCCAGGGACGAGCCATTTGATTCCCTTATATGCCCTGGCAATTTGTGCTGAGACACACAATGAGAGCGGTTCTTCTGTGGGGTGGGGGGAGGCCACGGACCACTTTCAGCCTCTAGCCCAGAGTGCAGAGAAGCCAGAGCTGGGCCGGAGGCCCAGGGCGACACTGACCAGCTCTGAGGTCTTAGGCACATTATTCGACCCTTGGCCTTAGTTCTGTCTTACATAAAGTGGGGAGGACACTTTTAAAGAGAAACAAATCAGAGATATCCCCTCTTAGTCTTTGTGCGCAGTCAGCCGTTATCCAGTGCAGTGTGGACACCAGGGCGGTGGTGACTGTGTTGTCACCTTTGAGCCTGACTGTGGGTTCTTGGTAGAGGAGGAAATCTCAACCCACTCCAGTATTCTTGACTGGAGAATCTCATGGACAGAGGAGCCTGGCTACAGTCCATGGGAGTCAGACATGACTGATTCTTTTGCAACTTAAAGAACAAACAACATGGGTTCTTGGGGAAGCTGAGACACCAGGACACCTGGGGAGCTGGCTAAGGCGCCCCTGGCTGTGGTGCTTAGAGGAGCCTGCCTCTGCTCCCAGACGTAAGAATACAGGGCTCTGATCCCTGGGGGGGGCAGTGGGTCACCAGTGTGTGTCTGTGGGTTAGGTGAGCCTGCCAGGCACATCATAAGCAGCCCCTGGAGCCATGCCCACACCCAGCCACAGCAAGACTTGGGGACCTGGGCATCCAGTGCTGACGGGAGGGCAGGTTTCAGCATCCAGACAGGCTTCAGCATCCCCAGAGTTCAGGTCTTCGAGCCAGTCTCGGGGTCTGGGAAGACCCCACCCCAGAGGGGTCTTCAGTGGGCATGGTGTGTTGGGAAGGCTGGTGTGTGCAAGTTCTGGCCAGTGGCTGGGCTGTGGGGGGAGCAGACGCTTCCACACATTGTCAGGGAGGGATGGGGAGGGGTTCCTGAGGGGCACAGTGGTAACCTTCTAGAGGCTGCCACACCGGGAAGGTGTTCTTGACGCCCCCACCTGTAGCTGGGAGTCCAGGGCTGGTAGGCAACTGGGGCCACAGGTGCCACTTGAGTTCTCTTGGAAGTCCTGGAGCCTGGGCCACTGTCAGTGCCTGGTGTCCAAAGCAGAGGAGGTGCCATGAGGCTTGGGCCTGAGTCCCAGGGAAGAGGCTGTGGTCCCCCTGTGAGCACCTATGGGTGCTGAGTAAACCCTGACTCCCTCACTGGAGATACCAGGCCCTGGGGCTGGGGTGGCCCAGGGCATCTACAGTAGATGGAGGCCAGTGAGGATATGAGCATACGGAGTCCAGCCGGTCTGTGGCAACACCTGCCTTCCTGTAGGGGGACGCATCTGGTCATGGCACCTCAGGGCCTGACTGTGGGGTCTTGCCCTTGGACATGGTGACTGTCACCTGTCACTTCAGGTGACAGTCGGCGGTCTGCACACGGAGCTTGTCCGCCGGCTCTTGCCTTCTTCCTTTCTTCTTACCTTCGCCATCTCTCTTCCCTCTCTTTTTCCTTCAAACCCAATGTAGGAGGATCCCAAGTGGGAATTCCCACGGAAGAACTTGGTGCTTGGAAAAACTCTGGGAGAAGGCGAATTTGGAAAAGTGGTCAAGGCCACAGCCTTTCGGCTGAAAGGCAAAGCAGGGTACACGACTGTGGCTGTGAAGATGCTGAAAGGTGCGTGCCCAGGCAGTACACAGGGGGCTCTGCCACCCACACCTCCGGGGCCCGGGTGGGTGGATGAAGCCCTGATGGCAGCCAGGACTCTGGCCATCAGCCTGCTGCCTCCTGAGGAGCCAGTGCCCCTCCCCTGCCCTTCCCGAGTGGCTGCAGTCTAGGGACCCCCACCATGGATGATGTGGGCTGGTGTGGTCCCTGCAGAAGCCCGGTAAGACATGCCTCCCTTGAAAGCTTTCAGAGCCATGCTGCTTGTGTATCAATGTTGGGTAAAGATCCGAGTTTAAATTAAAAGCCCTTAAGTTCAAAGCCGACAGCTCTCCCCACCTCAGTCTGCCCCATTCATTTCTTTCGCCAAGCGTCCACTGAGGTCCTGGCGAAGAGACCACCTGTAAGGACTGGCCCCTGTCCCCCAGGTCCCTGCCTTTCCCAGTCCCCACCCCGCCCCGGCCCTTAGCGGGCAGCACTGCCCCAGTCTTACCACATGCTGGGTGTCCTCACTGCTGCTGCTCAGCAGGGACTGGGTAGACGGTCCTCTGCCATGGCCGAGCTCTTGCTCAGCTGGACCAGCTGAGGGCCCAGTGGCCGAGTGATGGGCACGTTTTAGGCTGATGCACACTGATGCTCAGCAGTCGGGGAGCCATGCAGTGCCGGGTACTTTTGTGTACCTATCCAGGCCCTCAGACTGGGGTTGCTCCTTGTCTATGAGCTCCCAGGCCCTAAGAGGGCACAGTGAGACTGGCCCTGGGTCACCCACGTGTGGTCCAAAGGGTTCCAATGCCCCATCTTGCAGCTGTCTTCTCATTTCCAGACAAGTCTGCTGCCAGAGGCAGTGGCACAACTGGGCAGTGGGATGTGGGGCCATGACCCAGTGGGACAGTTTGGCCAGGAGACCTCCACACCCAGGCTCCTGAGCACAGCTATCTCTGCCCTTGGAAAACACACGCTCAGCATGGCAAGACGACTTCCGTGAAGTCTCATGGCCTTCACCTTTCTCCAGGGCCTCAACCCCCTTTGCCAAGTGCTTGGTTGGCAGGTGTTTGGGGACACCAGGGAGTCCCTTTACCTCCCCAGAAGGGTTAATGGAGGAGTGTCTTTGTGCACCACTGTCTTTGAGAGATGGTGATTGCAGGGAAATAATGCCATTTGCATGCGTAGCCCAGCCAGAAGGCTTTCCATAGAAAGACTCTGCTCACACGGAAGTGTGCTCCTCCGGTTCTTACTCCCTGGAGGCAATTGAGGCCGCTGTTGACCCTCCCATGGGCTGAGAGTAGCTCCAAGCAGTGAGGTCCTGGCAGGCCTCAGTCTGAACCTGAGGGATGTCTGGGAAGGAGACAAGTCTGTGTAGACCCCTCGTTTGCGTCTGTGACCCAGCACGGTGGTAGCAGGGACTTTGTGACCTGCTTTGTTTCTGTGCATTTCAGAGAATGCCTCCCCAAGCGAGCTGCGGGACCTGCTATCAGAGTTCAACCTCCTGAAGCAGGTCAACCACCCGCAAGTCATCAAGCTGTATGGGGCCTGCAGCCAGGATGGTAAGACCGGCCGGGGACTAGCAGTTGCCGGGCACAAGCCAGGGGCTCTGGGCTGCTCCATTCTGCATTCTCCCTCATCCCCATCCTTTTCTTCTCTGGCCCCTGTCCTCTCTCTTCCTGGAAGCATGGTCTCTCTGGCCCTTGCCCGAAACTTGTGTGTCAGTGGACCATGAGGGGTGCCACAGGAGTGTTCCCTGGGGTCTTTGGCGACATCCTGGTTGTCAGCACCCTGCCCCAGGCCGAGCCCTTAAGACAGGGAAGTCCAGAGATGAGCAGTGTCTCCTGGGCACCTACTGGGAACTAGATATGCCATAACCTCCAGGTGATCCCAACCCCACCCCAGCCTGGGGTGGCAAAGGCAGTGGCAGCATCACCGTTTTTCACATAAGAGCATTTTCCTCTATTGGTCTTCCAAAACTGCTTTGCCACCCTGGGGGCCTCCCACTTTGTGTGTTTGTGTGTGTGTGTGTGTGTGCGCGTGCGCGCGTGCATGTGTGTGCATGTGTATGTGGGGTGTGAGGGAGATGGGAGGCCGACAGGGAGAGAGCAGCAGGGGCACTGGTCAGCACCAGTAGCACTCAGGGCCGGGTCTCGGGGAGGACTGTGGCCTGAGAGCAGGCAGGGCAGGGAGAGGGTGGCCAGGGGCAGTTCAGAACCTCTGCCTCCATCAGCCGTCCCCAGGCCATACTGTGGCAAGACCAGGGGTACAGAAAGTTCCTGACATCCGAGCAGCAGTGGTTATCTCCCAGGGCAGCTTCAAATGCAGTGACTGCTTGCCCTGGACACCCAGGAAAGAGGTTGTGGTCAACTGTCCAGGCAGCTGGCTTTGGAATCCAAAGCCCCTGCAAGATGGAGGAGCTTCCCAAGTGGCACTAGTGATAAAGAACCTGCCTGCCAATGCAGGAGATGTAAAAGACTTGGGTTCAATCCCTGAGTCGGGAAGATCCCTTGGAGGGGGACATGACAACCTACTCCACTATTCTTGCCTGGAAAATCCCATGGACAGAGGAGCTTGGCGGGCTACAGTCTATAGGGTCACAAAGAGTCAGACATGACTGAAGTAACAGCGCTGCAAGGTGGAGAGCAGAGTGATGTGAGAGTGAGCTGAGGCTTGAGTCCTCAGACTGCTGGAAGCGATTGCCCCGTGCTGGCCCAACTTCTGCCTGCCCAGGGTCACCTAAGCAGCCAGCCCACGTACCTACTGCTCTGCCCCCAGGGCCACTGCTCCTCATCGTGGAGTATGCCAAGTACGGCTCCCTGCGGGGCTTCCTCCGAGAGAGCCGCAAGGCCGGACCTGGCTACGTGGGCAGCGGGGGCAGCCGCAACTCCAGTTACCTGGACAACCTGGAGGAGCGGGCCCTGACCATGGGCGACCTCATCTCCTTTGCCTGGCAGATCTCACGAGGGATGCAGTACCTGGCTGAGATGAAGGTGCGTGCCACCCCAGCCCCGCGCCCCTTCCGCCAGTGGTGGGCCCGGGTTTCAGGGGTCCCTGCTGCTGTCTTTTCCACAGCTCGTCCATCGGGACTTGGCAGCCAGAAACGTCCTGGTAGCCGAGGGCCGCAGGATGAAGATCTCGGATTTTGGTCTGTCCCGAGATGTTTATGAAGAGGATTCCTACGTGAAGAGGAGCAAGGTACCAGGCTCGGGGGTGCGACGGCCTGAGGGCAGAGGGCATGGTCATGGAGCCCACAGGTGGGGACAGGCTTTGATCTGAGGGAGATAAAGCGGGTTCTTAGAGTGTGAACTTCCAGTCCTCATCCCCGAACGCTGTCCTAGTCCTGGGTCCCCAGAGACCCGGAGCAGGACTCAGTCCTGAGCCTATTCCTTCTCTTCCTCACAACCACACTTGCTTTGGAGCTCCCTGCTGGGAGTGGGGTTCCTGCAGCTTCTCTCACTTTTCATCACTGTCACTTCTAAAGGTCACCCACCACTGCAGAAATAACAATCTTCTTGTCTGCAGTTGTTCCTCTCACTGCTGCAGAGTGAAGGTCACTGTTTCACTTTCTGTGTAACTTTAGTCCTTTGCTTGGGGAAAAGAAATGAATTAAACCCAAGCTTGCTAGTCATTCTTTACAGAAAGGAATGAACCACTTTACAGCAGGGTATGCTCCTGGTCCAAGGGCCTAGGAACCGCTGACTAAGTGAGTTTGGAAGGCGATCAGGAGGATCCTGGAGACAAAGTCCAGAGTCGCAGTGTAGAGATTTGGGAAGGTTTCTCCAAGTCACTGAAACAGGTGGTTCGGGGACCTTCTTGGGAAACCTGGTTCCCTGGTATGGTCCCCTTCCCTGTGACATTGGTCTTGACTTTCTTGGTGCTGTTATCCTCTCAACCCCTTTCTAGTAGCCTCCCTGTGACAGACCAGGCAGGGAAGATCACAGGCCCCCTCAAGACAAACAGCTAAGCTGGCATTCAGAACAGATGCTGCTCAAAAAGAAAAACACAGAAAGCCACGACATACACTTCAGCTTTGCTCTGAGGGGCGAGTAAAGCCCAGGTGCTCCTGGGGCTACGAGGATGACATTTGATTTCTTGTGGGGTTTCCGTTGTGACAGCACGTCTTAGAAGTGCTGAAGGGGAAGTGGAGAGGGGTGCTCCCTACCCCGTGGAGGGGGGGTGGATGGAACTTCTGTTGATGCACTGGTCCTCGGGAAGGCCCTGTGTCACCCAGCAAGGAAGCACAAGGTGCCCAAGCTCGGCCCCTGAGAGCACAGCCTGCAGGTGGCATTGTTAGAAACACACACCCTCGAAGCAGTCACACTTCATGTAGGGTATGAATCCTAAAAAGTACTTTAAAAAAAAAAAAGAAGAAGTACAATAAATGCATTAAAATCCAAAGCAAATGCCTTTTTTAAAATTGATTGTGCCTTGACGCTGACCTATTTGCTGTTGTTTAATCGATCAGTCGTGTCTGACTCTTTGCGACCCATGGACTGTAGCCCACCAGGCTCCTCTGTCCATGGAATTCCCCAGGCAAGAACACTGGAGTGGGTTGCCATTTCCTCCTCCAGGGTATCTTCCTGACCCATGGATCAAACCCGCATCTCCTGCACTGCAGGTGGATTCTTTACCACTGAGCCACCAGGAAAGCCCGCTGATCTATTTGTACCAAAAAGCTATTTCTTAAATTGCATTAGAAAGGATTTGTTAGGTTGAACTCCAGCCTCTCCATGGTGGAGGACAGTCTTTCAGAGGATGCAAAGGGCCCTGGGATAAAATAAGAGGGAAAAATCAGACTCAAGACACTCACATTGATTTCTTCGCTCAGAGCTTCTTAGAAAGGCCTTTAGTGTGTTCTTTTGTGTCAGAAATTCCCGAGATGGAAACACTGGATGTTGGCTTCCCAAACCCCTTCACCCTCAGAAATCAGGGGAGATCTTGATGGAAGTGCTTCCAGCCTACCCACTGGGCAGCACCCAGGGTGCCCCTGATCTCCCCAGAAGTGACCACAGTGGGGCCTGGCTTGCACTTGGCATCAATTCCTTGGGATGTGGTGCGTGAACAGCACACCTTGTATAGCTGTGGGCAGGCGACTGACTCCCTCAGGTGTTTCAGCCAAGCCTAGGAAGGCGGGGCTGGGACTCCAGCCCCTGTGAGGCTGTGCTGCTGGCCTGTACCCAGGAACACACTGGAGTCATTACTCAGTGTTCCCTAAGAGCTGAAAGAGCCTGAGATGGGTCCCCCACACACACCAGTTCCTAGGGTCTCAGAGCAACGTTAATGCCTTTCTTTCACTCCTTCCTTAGGGTCGGATCCCAGTCAAGTGGATGGCCATTGAGTCCCTCTTTGATCATATCTACACCACCCAGAGTGATGTGTGAGTCTTGCTGTTGCCTTCCTGGGGTGGAGGTTACACGTATGCACCTGTCTGGGCAGCTCTGCTGGGGAACAGAGTTGCCCTGAGTCCCTGTCAGCTCATTCCAACCATCCAGAGTGACCTCCCCAAATTGAGGGGGCTGCGGATGGGGGAGCTTTGTGTACTCACACAGCAAATGGCAAAGGCCCAGGCAGTAGTTCTGAGTGCCACGGTGGAATGCATGAGGATGTGAGCCATAGCTGCAGCCCCCCTTGCCGCCCCCACCTCTCCTGCCCTCTCTTTGGACATCTCAGTGACATACAGTCCCAGCTGAACAGTTCCCTCTCTGTGAGCCTGAGTGTGAGCGGGCTTCAAGCAGGTCCCCGGAGACTGGTCCCCACCCAGGGACAGGTTTAGGGTGGAGTGACCTTGAGTGGGTTTCCGGTACCCGAACTGCTCCAAGACCAAAACTCAGTCTTCCAAGTCCAACTACATTCTCAATTGTTTTCAAAACCACAACAGACTTGTTTCCAAATGTTCTGCTGTAAACAGCCTTGCATGTTTTGAATAAGGTAGGCTGTGAAAAGGCAATTCTTAAACAGTTTTAACAACTGTTTTCTGATTACCAAGTTGACTGTAAAACAACTGGAAATGCAGGGGAAAGCATAATGAAGAGACTAAAAGTCAATGGGGCCCCACCATCCCTAAATAACTAGGGCCAGCGCTCACAGGCCTTGCCTAGAGTTGTCCGTGGCATGCAGGCATTCATTATTACTGTAAATGGGCTTGTGTGATAATGCTGTTTTGTGATGATTTTGTCCCCACTGGACAGTAAATTTTCCCTCACAGTTGATAATTTCCCATTGCAGTTTTTTCCTTTTAACATCTTATGAAAATTTCCAAGCACACAGAAAAGGTGAAGGGGTTTTGCAGAGTGCCCCTGGTGCCCTGTGGCCTCAATTCGACTTGCTTTTCACTGTGCTCATTTGCATTCCCTGTGCTGTCTCTGATGCTACAGAGCTTCACCTCAGGGGTCAGCCACCTGCCCCTTTTGGGTATGGGGGCTGAGCTTGGGCAGCAGCTTGCCAGGGGATTGGGGCAGGGCAGGCAGACACCTGGTCCCGCCTCCATTCCACTTCCATCTGTCTGGTCAGCCTAGGCTGAAACTGTGGGCACTTGGGACCACTCTCTGTACGGGGAACTCGGGTCCTGTTGCTGCTCAGGGGGAGGATATCTGGGGTGCTGAGGATGCCACAGACTCAGTGCAGTCGCTCATTGGCCCTCTGGTTCTGCAGGTGGTCCTTTGGTGTCCTGCTGTGGGAGATTGTGACCCTGGGCGGCAACCCCTACCCTGGGATTCCTCCAGAGCGGCTCTTCAACCTTCTGAAGACAGGCTACCGGATGGAGAGGCCAGACAACTGCAGCGAGGAGATGTGAGCATGCTTTCTCTGGTCCAGCCTCACCAGACACTGACACTCCAGGCTTTGGAGGGGTGGGGTCATGCACACTCATCCTTTCCCACTGCTGGGCAACCCTGGGTGCCAGCCCCAGGCGAGCTGGGCAGCTGGAAGTGATGGGCCAAGACAAAGGCACAGATGACAGAGAACCACCCTTGTGCATGATGGCAGATGCTGGGGACCCAGATTCCACTGGGGGCTGGGTGGGCCTCCTGGGGGGACTTACAAGCTGAGGGGGAGCAGGACCCCAGGAGAGGTGGTGGAAGGATGACGGCTTGCTTCAGACTGAGGGAGCAGCTTCAGTCTAAGGCTAGAGACCTGTCCCAGGATGCTTGGGGAGGGGCAGGTAATTCAGAATGGCCCCAGGGGTACATACGGGGGAGCGCCCAAGTGGAGACACCAAAGCAGGCAAAGAGCAGGCAGATGGCACCTGGACTTCAGCTCGAGGGCACCAGAATCTTCTCATCAAATGGTGGTTCCGTCAGATGACCCTTGGAGAACAGGTTGAGAACACATGAGAGGGGGTCGTCCATAGTTAGGCACACACTGGTCCATTCATTCTACAAAGTCTCTCAGCACCTGCCATGTGCCTGGCTCGGGGCTGTGGGAGTGCAAGGGTGAGTAGGTGCTGCCTCCCTGGGCACCCTAGACTGGCAGGCACAGGCCCAGCACTCACCCACAAGGGGGCCCCTGCAGCCCTGCCAGAGCCCCAGGGGAGGGAGGGAGGGGGGTGCAAGACAGAGTGTGCTTGGCAGGTGTTTGTGTTCACACACAGTTCATCCTTCATAAGCGTTTTAAGGACTGGCATTTCTGCGTTAGCCGCCATAACAAGCATGGCTGGACCACAGTGCCAGACACTGTGAGCCCCTGCTGACCCAGCATACCCTGGCCCAACTCAGAGAAGGATGCCAGTGGCACAGGAACAGCTTTGGGGTTTTGGACCAGAGCCTCTGGGGCCCAGGCGCACTGTACTGTGTGTGGTGGTTGTGACTGGGCAGTAATTGCTGGATTGTCAGCACCCACCTGTTTGTCTCACCAGGTACAGTCTAATGCTGCAGTGCTGGAAGCAGGAACCAGACAAGAGGCCAGTGTTTGCCGACATCAGCAAAGACCTGGATAAGATGATGGTTAAGAGCAGAGTGAGTACCCGGAGCCAATCCCTGGTGCCACCTCCCTCACCCCAGTTCATGGAATTCCCAATACAAAGGCAGAGTGCGGCTGTGCAGAGTGAGATGGTCATGTCGTCTCCTGGTAGGGGGCAGGGCAGATGAGGGTGGGGGGCAGGCACGAACCTTTATCCTTAATCCAGGCCTCTTGGACTTCTTGAAATTAGGAAGGAACCAGTATTTTTACCTTGACACTTAGGAAGAGCCCTCCACAGACAGGGGTGGGAAGAAGATATGCAAAAGCCAAACAAAATTATTTTTAATAATGGAACTTGAGGAAGTAAAGTTGGAATGAATGTGTCCTAAATTCAGAATCTATGAAGGGTCCGGCTAGGGGTGGGAAGTGAAGGGAGCAGTGGAAACTGTGACGAATAGTAGCCTACCAGCTGCCTCTGAAGGACCTCTTACCATAGACAGTGTAACCTGTAGGAATAAGAGTGCCAGCATGCCAGGGCTTTTTAAGGGATGTTTATGTCTCCCAGTTTTTATAGCAATTTCCAAAAGCTCAGTGTGGGCCAAACAACATATCTGTGTGCCTCCAGTTTACATCTCTAGGTGATAGAGGAAATCAACACAGTTTCCACTAATATTGATTGGGCAATGGGCTGCCACCTATATTCTGCCTTAGATGCTGGGGATGCAAGTAAAGAAAATAGACACAGACCTTGTTTGCCCTCTGGTGGTTTCATCCTTAAATTGACACAGTTACTGAAAGTTGGCATTTCTCCAAACATGGAAGGCAAGATGCATGGACTGGGCCCCTTGGAATAAAACCCAACCTCGGTGTATCGTTTGGGCAAATCCTATGATTTGCCCTAAACAGAGGTAATAGCTGATGCCTACAGACAGCTTTCCTAGAACAGTGCTGAGAACTAGCCAGAAACACACTGGAAGCATTCTTGACACCTTTAACCCGGGCAGTGGAAGTAGCCGGTCCTCACAAATCATCCTGCTTGGGAGCTGAAGCCTCTAGCAGCATCTTATGCAAAACCCACACCGATGACTCAGATTTCTTGGTCCTGAGTTGATATTGGAGATGGCAGGAGTGCCTGGAGGGAAGCCGGAAAGTGTGGAGCAGATGGGGAATGTGTCTTGGCCTTCCCACATGAGTCACGGGACTGCAATCCCAGGGCCTCAGGTTTTATAACAGGCCTGTTCTCCAGTGCTGGGCCTGGTGCCCTTAGCACTGCAGAGAGAGGACCAGAACAATGAGGGAACACATTTCTGCCTCCAAGAGGTGATTTTCTGTGATGAGGACAGAGGGTGGGGGAACTCATGCTGACAGCCCTGGCCAGGGGTAGGTGCGGGGTGGGACTCGGCTGGGGCTTCTGCTCTCAGGCAGCGCGGGGGTGGGGGCGGGTGGGCATGTCCAGCAGTGGCCTGCTCCAGGAGTGACCAGGTCTCTCTCCCTTCCAGGATTACTTGGACCTGGCCGCGTCCACCCCATCCGACTCCCTGCTGTATGACGACGGCCTGTCGGAGGAGGAGACACCCCTGGTGGACTGTAATAATGCTCCCCTCCCTCGCACCCTCCCCTCCACGTGGATTGAAAACAAACTCTATGGTAGAATTTCACATGCATTTACTAGATTCTAGCCACGTTGTTCCTGCTCTCTGCACTGTCCTTACTCTCTGTAATGCTTTTTAAGAGTGTTTCTGGTTTGAATGAAACCAAAGTCTGCTCTGAACCTTTTTGTTTGTAAATGTATGACTTTGCATCCATTTACATTCAGGCATTTTTTTTTTAAACTATGTTTTTTTTAAAGGATGTGAAAATATGTGTGATGATCACATTGCCCAGCAGCTTAAGATGATAGAGGAGAGGGCGGGGCAGAACTCTCAGGGGATATTGAGAAATGATGACTCAGTCATTTCCCGGGTGGGGATTTAGTCATAGTACTTCTAATTTAACTACTGGGGTACATTTTCCTGACCTGGGGAGGCATTTAATCTAGAAAGGCGGAACCAGCACTACCCTGCCTGCACTGAGAACACAGCCAGCAGCCCCCCAGGCTCTGTCTGGGTGAGTGGGGGTGGGGGGGCTTGGAGGCCACCTGGTGCTGGGGACCACCATTGGCGGGAGGGACACACACAGACTACTGTTTTCATATCCTTTGTATCACACACTGTCATGACAGTTGTCACTTACGAAGTCAGTGCTAAAAGCTGGAGCAAAATGCTTTTTGAAAGAACGTAGTCTGTGGTGCTGTGGTCTTGCAATGGACAGTAAATATGGTTCTTGCCAAAACTCCTTCTTCTGTCTTCAATACTTGAAATTTTTTTCCTGTTTCCTAACTTCATCATGGAGTGTTTTGAAATCTTGGAGTCTCAAGCCTTTTTCAGCCGAGGTTGTTCCTTTCGCATGCCTCCTGGGTCATTGATTCCTTGCTGGCTAGTGTTCCTTGCCATTTGTCCCGTCGACGCTGTGGGACTGGGCTGCGTGCACCCTTGATTTGGAAAGATCCTCTCCTCCATAGTAGCCTGGGATGGAAGACAAGTAGGCTCCTTTATGTTAGAGCACTTTATATAGAAGCTTCCTGCTTCAGTAAGCCAGGCAGTAAGTACAGCAAGGTGCTGATGCGTTATGCTGCCTGACACAAAAGAGTTAAACAGGTCACCAGAGATTGATCAGATTTGAGAGTCCGAAGCTTTTAAAAGTCAAAATTGGTAGTTTCTTGTAAGCTACAGTTACCAAGAGAACATGTGATGTTCCCCCCTTCTCCCAAACATGTTTTGGAAACCTGGAGCATGAAACCCTGCAGGCAGTTGGCCCAGAAACCAGAAGTTTGGTTTGAACCTCAAAGGGAGTTTTGCCAAGGCCTTACTGTCTGGACATGAAGTTTGGGTTCTTCAGCGCAGAACAAATGATCTGTTTTCATTTTTAGGCATGTCAGACCCGAACTGGCCTGAAGAGAGTCCTGTACCACTCACGAGAGCCGCTGGCACCAACATTGGGTGTCCGAGATATGCAAATGATAGTGTATATGCTAACTGGATGGTTTCACCCTCAGCGGCACAATTAATGGACGCGTTTGATAGTTAACATTTCTTTGTGAAAAGTAATGGACTTGCGAGGGGAAGAAACATGCTGAGAACAGAAGGTCTGCCGGCCCCTATTTGCACATTTCACACTGGCTGGCAGTCTTGCCACCCAGCAGATGTAGCACGCTGGACGGTGTAGGTGTTCCTTCTTCAGCCCTCCACAGCACCCAACCGGTGCATCCATGAGCACCACGCACTCCGCGCTCACACGTATGGGTCCCTCACTCACTACCTGAACTGTTTGATTTTTTTCTGGTTGCCTCCAAACAAGGCCACATGATTTAAACATGAAGCACACACACCAAAAAAAGCAGCAGGGGAAAAAAACCTGGCCCAGACGACCTATCCTTGTTCAAAACAGGAGCCCGGCCAGGCCGCATAGGGATGTCAAAGCCCGACCAAGGCTGGAGGGGAAGAGGGGACTTCTGGACAGGCCTCGCCGCAACCTTCAATATCCTGTTTTTTTTTTTTTTTAATCATGTAACCTTTTCTTAGGAAGACATTTGATTCTTATTATGATTAAAATGATCCTTAGGTTTAGCACAATGGAGAGACGTGATGCCACATTTGGTATGTAGGCAGCTGGTGTGAGGGGAGGGGGCTTCTAGCATACATCTGTCCACCTGGCTGAGCGATCACACCCCTGTGATGAGAAGTGTATGGAGGAGGGGGCCTTGGAGTGGAGTGGACTCACACCCAAGTATTGCTGACCACAGAGACTTGGCTGCCGTGAGCTCCCCAGCCTACCCCACCACAGCCTTCAGCGCCCACCCGTCCAGTGCCCCAGAGCGTCAGGGGCTAGTCTCACACGTCCGTGGTGGGACTCGTGCTCAGTCTCAGCTAGGTAGGTTAGAAGTAGTGTCGACCAGTGACCAAGGACTGTGACACCTCTGATGACAGTTCTGATGGGGAAACGACAGGGTTTTGGCTCTTAGAGAGCTTGTGTGAAAAGGTACATGTGTCCACTCTTCCTGTGTTTGTAACGTAATGCTGCTATGGCAAGACATTTTTGTTCTTAGGTTCTGACCGTGACTCATGAGCTTCTTGTCATTCTTCACTGCTTGTTTGTGGTCACAGACACTCGGCACTCCTCCCATCCTGTGGGGGTGGCTTTCGGGAAGTCCTCGTGGCTCTTCTTTCTGTCCCAATGCTGTCACTTTGCAGGGGAGGGTCAGTTACCAAAACACTGCCTGGTCTTCAGACTTAAAGCACTGTGAAAGAACTTAACGATGTCTCATGAGAATGCTGGATTTTATAGCCATTTCACCAAAGTGGTAAAGTGGTAAAAATTACGGCATTTTTGTGGCCAAGAAGGCTTGGATGAGTTTTGTGGAGGAGGTGTGTGTGTGTGTGTGTGTGTGTGTGTGTGTGTGCGCGCGCGTGCGCATGCGCATCTGTGTGTGCACGCATGTGTGTGTGTACACACCCAGGGAGAGCACTGGAAAAACACTTAACTGCAGATGCAACATGGCTTTAGTTTGGGCCGTTGTTCAGACGCACTGTGATAAGTTCTTTTACAGATATCTAGTCATGGTAGTAAACTTGTGGGTTTCAGATGTACTTGATGATAGTCTTGTTAAATGCAGAAGTAGGGAGAAACTTTCTCAAGTTATTAAAAATGCCTACTCAGTGTGAGAGGCTGTAGCAGATTTGTCCTCAGCAGGGGGAGAACTCCAAGTCTAACTGGCTGATCCAGTGGTGGGGAGTTAACCCTTGACTCATAACCTAATTGTCTGTTCCTGAGTTATCCAGGTACTCATACTTGTTAGTCTATCAGACAATTTTCATATGCATATACACAGAAGTGACTAAGTATTTAAGTATTACTGAGTATTAAGTAACAATCTGTTTTAAAATTTGTTAAATCTATTTATGAAAGGTTATTAAATCATACTGTGTCAATTTGCTTTTGTAGTCAAGGTGACTAAGAAAATCATTTCAGTTATGTAAATAAAATCATGTATCATACAATGCGTAAACTTCTTTTCTCTTTTTAACCTTCTCGTTGGAAACATTAGGTTTCTGATTTTAAAGTTTCCATATAAGGAGTAAGATATCACAGGGGGATCTATTGTGGTGACCACTGGGGAAGTAAGACTGATCGAAGGACCATGGGGGCTCTTGGTGATGTTATTTGACTTGTCTTGTATAATATGTACATGAACAGCCACATTTATAGTAATTGTGAAAACTAGGCTTGTTCTGCCACTCAGAGGATTCCTTCCCTAAAACAGAGCAGCAACCAATGTTGAGTTCAGGTATTTGCTCTTGTCGAGTAATTTGCTGTTTGTTTCTTGAAGCTGGAGTTGGACAGTTGTGAGAGAGACTGTAAAATGCATTGTCATGACTGAAGGTCCATTGGAGGAAACACTTTGCTCTGAACCACTATGAAATCTAAAATACTAAATGCTTCTGTTTATGACTTCCTGCTGGGTTATGCAGGGATGCTATGAGCTCCTCAGAAATCTGGCAAGGAGCAGGTGGTGGGTCAGTAGGGAAACACAAGTTATTAGCAACATAAGTCTGATTTGTGGTTACATTGTGCACTGGATACTGAGGGCCTTGGGTGCACACCTGTACACACAGTCAGGTGTGTATGTCACCCAAGGGCTGCCCCAGGCCCATAGTGCTCCAGCTCCTGGCCCTTAGCGCCTCCTCAGTCTAGACCTCAGGGATGGGAAATGAAGGTAATTTCTAGACTCTGTTGTTTGCCTCTGAATGTTTAGAAACCCATGTTGAAAAAAGCTAATATTAAAATATGAAAAACTCCTTTTTCAAGAGGAGAAACCTTCCATTAGTAGTGTGTGTGTGTGTATGTGTGGTTTATTTTTCTGAAAAGGCACATTCTCCACCAAGCTCCACACAGGATTGCTTAGCCACAAGGTCAGCTTATTTGGCTAGAAATGTAGTTGAATACTGGAGGAGGGAATGGTTGCCTGTTTCAGTATTCTTGCCTGGAAAATTCCATGGACAGAGGAGCCCGGTGGGCTACAGTCCATGGCATCACAAAAGTCAGACACACGACTGAGCAACTGAGCAGGTATTTGAATATAATGTCTGAGAACATGTCTCGGACAAACACTTAACATAAAAGGGAAAGCAGAGTTTCCCCCACTAGAAACAGAGCATTTTTCCAGGCAGAGGAGTGGATATTTCCCTCTTCTCCTTTGAGCATGTTTATATGTGGGGTATTTGGATGGTGGTATTTAGGGTGATTCTAGAAAGTGCGGAAGAAATCCTTATCTCTGTGTCCCTGGAATGATACAGTAAGAGTGGCTCTGAACGGCATGTGCCACAGTGGGGGCACACCCTCCCTTCCATGTGAATTTGCACGTGGTGCTTACCCTCTGGGTGGGCCTATACATCCAGAAAGCACCATCCACTCAGGTTGCCTGCCCCACTCCATCCCTTCTCCACGGCAACAACCTTGGCAGGCTCACTAGAACTTTATAGGAACTTCCCTGGCAGTCTGGTGGTTAAGACTCTGTGCTTCCACAGCAGGGGTCATGAGGTCGATCCCTGTTCAGGGAACAAGATCCCCCACATGCCACCCAGCACAGCCAAAGTTTTTTTTTTTTTAATAATTAAAAGAACTTTGTAGAGTTTCCCACATCTTTAGGGAGTTGGGATTCACATGAATAATTCTTGGCTGAGATCAGGAGAAACCAGAACCTGTATGTAGAGAGTTTTTCACTGTAGAGTATGGTGCTGTGCCTGCAGAAGAGGCTGGCTGGGTGGCTGTGTTAACTAACAGCTGGGAGGATAAGCTTCACTCCCGGAATTAAAGAGGCACGTATGTGAACGCTTGAAAGAAATCCATTAATCTGTGCAACTCAGATTTCAATTGCTGCGTCAGGTGACAAGATATTTTTTCAGATGTTTCTGGAATGTGCTAAGTCACAGGACCTGACGAATGGCGATCTCTCAGGGGGGCTGTGACCGGGAGGCTGTCTCGCTGTGTCAGCTTCAGGGACATCAGTGTCGCAGCAACTGGGCCACGCACGTGGAGGGAGCCGCGACCAGAGACCACCAATCAGTGTGACCACAGGACTTCTGTATCACCCCAGGAGAGACCATGATCCTGCATCCTTTCAGATGACACTGCGCAGTTCAAGTTCAAAATTGGTGTGGGGAGGTGAGGTAAGTGCATTCTAAAACTAAGAGGGAAAAAATCATTTTTCAAGAAAAAAATTTTTGATGCTTCAGACACAGACTATATTTATCATGCAGACCATCAGTTTTTTGAATAAAAATGCAAAGTTCATTTTTTATATCCCTATTTTTATTGATGTTAGTTTTGTCAATGGTACTCTTTCAGGCTGCACTTGGTTTTCACCTGTGGTCCAGTACTTTTCTGCACTTTTCATTTTCCCATAGAGGAAAGTCATTCTTGTGGGTTGGGAAGGGTCTAGCCCCAGGTGGCACAGTGGAAAAGAATCCGCCTCCCAATGCAGAAGGTACAAGAGACGGGTTTGATCCCTGGGTTGGGTCTCCAGTGTCCTTGCCTGGGAAATCCCATGGACAGAGGAGCCTGGCGGGCTACAGTCCATGGGGGCGCAGAGAGTTGGACACGACTGAGCAACTGCACACACATAGCCCAGAAGAAAAGAACATAAGGCTGCCTCTTGCTACCGGAGGCAAGGGACTTTGAAGGACTTCAGGGAGCCCATATATGCCTTGTCACAGCCTCTGCCCTTAGGAGCTCCTTTCAACAAGAGCAAGTGACTTGCTCCATGTTTTGTACCTTTTTTTTCTGGGAGTTTTAAAAAAAATGTTTAAACTTGAAATTTTTAAAACTTAAAAAAAATTTTTAAACTTTAAAAAAAATTTTTTTAAACTTCAATTTTAAAAATTGAAAATTTTCCTTGAGACTCTGGCCACGGACGTGAGAAGCCAAAGTTCTTGGATTTTTCAGAACTCCAGGGTAAAGCGGTTGGAGGACTTCATGAACATATTAATAAAAAAGATTACAGGAAACAAATATATATATATATGTATGTGTTTATTTAGCGTGGAGTCTTAGCCACTGGACCAACAGAAAAGTGCCCATAGGAAACAATTTTTAATGTCAGGAATGACACAGAAGAGGGAAAGATTGCAGTTTCTCAAAGGACAGTCATTGAAAGAAATTAAAAGAAGTGTTATGGCAAAAAATAGAATTTTTTTTTGTCTGCGTTGTTGTAGCTTGCAGGATCTTAGTTCCCCAACCAGGGATTGAACCCAGGCCCCCTGCAATAGAAGCATGGAGTCATAACCACTGGACCACCATGGAATTCCCAGGAAATTGTACTTTTTAAGAGAGCTGAATCATCTATATAGCTTTGTAGAAATAAGACCACCCAAAAGAGAACATGCAGGGTTTATTTATTCTGCACTTGCTATTGCAAAGGAAGAGGCCACCATCTTCTTGCTTATGGCAGAGACTCAAAGGCAGGCAGAGGAGGAAGAAAGCTTTACAGGAAAAAAAAAATAGTGGGGGAGGCTTCAGGTATACTGTGGAGGCTATTGGCATGAGGAGGCTGAAGGCACTAAAGTAACTAGAAACAGCATCTTAGGTGATTCACTTGGAGAATATATTTGGCTTTCTTTGGGCGGTTTCAAGTTGGAAATTGGGGCAAAATAAAACAGGGAAGCTGGCAGTCATTGACCAAATCCTGACCATTTTGGGCTGGTGACTGCAGAGGTTACGGGAACTCCAGTTCTTTGGTTATTCATGGGCTGGCCGTTGTCTGTTTGCATATTCAGTCTCTCAGTTCCTCTCATTTGGTCATTTTTTTGCTTGAAAGTTGATGAATACAAGGAACTTTAGAAATTCAGGCCTTCACCGCTTAGAGGCTGATTGTTCAGTCATCTCCATGGCTAACTATATTGTGAGGTATTTTTTTTAATGAGTGGATTATATTTATTTACTTTCAATGTTTATTTATTTGGTCATGCTGAGGGAGTATGTGGAATCTTAATTCCCAGACCAGTGACCAATCTCATATCCCTTGTATTCTGGAAGCATGGAGTCTTAATCACTGGACCACCAGGGAAGTCCCTGTTGATTGTCTTTTTTTTAAAATAAGAGTCATTCTAACAAATGTGAGGTAATATGCCATGGTTGTTTGGACTTGATTTTCCCTTACCTTCCTGTTGTATCATCATGTTGATCACCTGACAAGAAAGTGGCTGTTCAGAAGCATTTGGGTCCCAGATAGATGCAAAGAACCAGCATCATGGCCACTAGGACAAAAACACGAACAGTTAATAAACGCTCTAAGGTTTATTGAACCAAGAATTCCAATCCAAGCCAAGCACAAATCCAATATAGACCATGAGGATCAAATTTATTACAGAGTGAAGTAGCTTTGACAGAAGGCATGTGTTGTCTGTCCCAGCTTCCCTGTTTCAATGACAGAAGTACGGTATTAGGAATGGCACAGATCATGACTAACCAATAAGAAATCTAAAGCAGTTATTAAACAATAATAAAGCTCTAGTGCCAGCCTCCTGGCAAAGCGCTTCTTGGAGTTCCTTTCTTAGGGGCAGTCATCCCTGAACTTGGGGCCCATAGGGAGTAGTAGCCCCACACTCACAGGGAAAGGCAGACCCACCTCCACACATCTCTTCCGTCCCCTTCACTCTGTAGGACA